TGTTATCTACGAATCTGAAAGGCAAAGTTTGCACTTCAGAGGCTGTCCTGTACACCACATTGGTCATCCGGTCATGAACGTGGGGTGGCACACTGCCGTCCAGACGCCGTTGGTGACATTCGTTCCTATTCCCGAGTACTGGCAAACACCAACAGTAGCTCCTTGGTCCTGAAGACAATGGCCATTCAGCCATTGACCTGTGCCTGCAGCATCCCAGTAGTCATAGGCTGTAAACGTTCATAAGTATCGAAGGCGCGGAGACAGAGTAAGCAACTCACTTATGGAATCTGAGCTATGGTTGACTATCCAGATCGAGCACGAAGAAGTCTTGGCACTCAGAGCTTGTCCTGAGAGATGCGTGATAATAGGATTAGTGACTCTTCGTCCCTCGCTCCAAATCTACACTTACCCGCAGGAAGGTTGAATCTACCGTAGGTGCCATACAGCTCGTTATAGGCGATCTTGCACTCGGTCGTGTTCGCTTTTGGGACATTGGTTTGGAAAGCGCATGCAGTCTCGCAATGTCGTCCCTCAATGTTAATGTCCCGCTTTTCCAGCTCGACAGGTACAAGTTCGTCCAAGCTGCGTCGTTTCCTTGCACCGGATTCTTCAGCCCAGAATTCGAACGTGACACCATGAGATTCACGTGTTGAAAGAAGAGAGTAGCCCTTGTCTGCCATTGCATCTTCCAGGTCTGAGCCTTTAGCCAGAGCTTCTATAGATAATATCGCATCAGTTCCGGTGACATTCTTTCGCGAGGACTCGGCTCAGGAACTCGACGTACTAGTGGATGCCCCAGAGAAGTCTGCCAATGGGTTCAATATGTAACCCGGGTCTTTCCGCTTAAACAGGGATCTCCTCCCGCCTTTGCTGTCTTCGGTGGCATTTGAGATGGAAATTGCGGAGAGTAGAAGGACGAGGGATGCGAAGAGGGAACAGTACGTCTTGGTCGGGTGGAGCATGGCTTCCGATATCACACGCAATCAGAGGGGGGGGTAAATTGGGAGAGGTATCAAAGAAAGGTGAGCAGTCCGAGATAGAGGTAGGAAATATCTTTGAGGATATTTGGAAGGCGTTGTAGTGAGAGTGTTGGACGAGCCCAAGGAGCGCTACAGTCGGCCAGTCACTAGGGCCAATTAATTTTGTGGTGGCGATTGGCCGAAAGTTCGTGTTTGAGGGAAACGACTCTGCAGGTTAAAACGTTACAAACTAGTAACATTGTAATATTGAGGACGAAAAAGAAACGGGCGTAAGCATGGCCGTTTGCTACCCAATATTAGGTCACAGGCAAAAAATGCACTCACATAGCCGCTGGTCGTGGGAGCGTCGGGCAAGTACTCGAGATGGCTATCGTATGGTATACGGGAATAAGAGAGCAAGGTATAAGAGCTACAATATTCAAGAAGATGGTAGAGGTTAGCCTCTCTGCTGAGCGCCCGTAGGCCTGACGTTCTCACCGGATGACCAATGTGGTGTACAGGACAGCCTCTGAAGTGCAAACTTTGCCTTTCAGATTCGTAGATAACACCTTTTTAGGCGGATATCTTTTGTTTGCTGACGAGAACCGCAACACGGGAAGGAAAGAATGGAAGGGAGGGGTCCAAGTGGCAGACAAGGGTTCACGAACAACCCGGTCACGCCTGTATATATACAAACAATCAGACAGCGCAAAGAAGGGGTCCGAAGGCATCGACACGGAAGAAATAGGCAATCAACACTGTGTAGAGGTGAGCATATGGCCAGCTAAGCACTTCGATTTCTTGAGCGTGGTGACTGGCGTTTGCGAGGTTGAACCGACATGGGTCATTTACCCCATATATCACCCCTCATTTGTCTCAGTCTAAATCCTTTTGTCTTGGATTTCAACACATTTATCCGCTCGTCGTCATTGTCAACTCAGAGACCATCGCTACCGCACTTATTGGCTTAAATGAACAGATCATTCTCCCGAAAAGAGACTGAGAATAAAAGTCCATACATAGGGCATCTGAAAATAACAGGGGGTTCAAAAGAGGAAGGACGTATGTATCCCATCATATCTCAATGTGATACCAAGGGACATGGGTGCATGGTGAAGGTTGGTTGAACGGTACGGTGACATATACGCGTGAAAAAGGCCATATGGGTAATCGATTTATCGGCTATCGGGTGGTCGGGACAGCGGCGTGTGGCTGCTCCTATTTGCTACTTCTTCAACGAGTAGAAGCAGACGAGTTCGATCATCTACTTGTTCTTATCCTTTTGAGAGTTGACGATAGGAACCACGATGATAATGAGCAATACGATGATACCGAGGATCACGATGAGTGTCCACTAATTTGGCAAAAGCCGAATATTAGCGCGCTGAATGGAGAGTGCACAATTAGCACGGGAATAAGTAACATACCTTCATATTTTGCCACCACATCCTCTTGCGCACCCTGTTCGCGCCCTTTCGGAATGTCTGGGCAGAAACGGCCAAACCATCTGCGTAGAGAGAAGGGCAAAAGCAGCGTCAGTCCAGCCGTTCAACGGTCACATACGATTCCAATTCCTGAATCCGATTCTCTTCCTGTACTACTCCGACAGGATCGGAAATGACACGTACCCGTCTTATCTTGCAATGCATCCAATCGTTCACCCCGCTCCGCCACGCGGGCAATATTATCTCTCATAGCACCAACAGTCTCGTCAATTTGTTGTTGAATATGTGCGGTCTGGGATGATCCACCCGCTCGCGATCCTCCCGCAGCTCCAGCTGCTGAGGAACCACCGCGAGGGAGGTAGGGGTCGTATGGCTCAGACCTGGTCGACGAATCCCCATCCAAAGGCACGCCATTCCATTCCGTGACAGTATGATATCGATTGCATAAGCGTTGGTAGGCGAAAAGGGACGTAGAGCAAGGAGCGTCATCGTGTCAGCCTTCTTTCCCACTGAACCCGCAAGCACTCGCGTGTAGAGAGGCGACGTACATTATGTAGTATTAGATCGGTATAGTTCTCTTTTGAAGTTATTTTTGGGGAATTTGTGCTGGTGAGGCCAACAAAAGTGGAGAGGGACAGAGTTCGTGATTGGCCCGTTTAATGTCTTCCTTTGTCGAGCTTGGGTCGTCCTGGTGAAGATGGCCAACTCGGATTGTGTGGCTTCAGTTCTGGGTTATCCTGCAACGTCGAAGGAGTCCGCTGGGCTTTTCTGGGAGGGAGTAAGTACAAGGTTTGAACGTGGCGTGAGGATTCGAGTTTCCCACCTTTTATAGCTGTTACGCCTGCGAGCAGTGCCTCCCCGGTGAGATTTGCAGCGCCGTGACGCGTACGCAGAAAACAACTTGGACCCGCTATATTTCCACTTTCTGAAATGAAATTATAGTGTTTAAAGTGCCCCGAAGGGGCCAGCCAGGGATCTGAATGGTTGATGAGAGGCAGGAAGGTCAACTGGGTGCATTTATTCCAGCAACAAACTGTCCGAGCAGACTAGATCACAACAGGGATATGCAAAGGTCAAGCAAAGAGAACAAATGAACAGAAACTATCCGAGGCCGGCGCACGAGACCGCAAATGGGAGTCTCGCCACGACTGGCCCGGGGTATACTATGTACACGAAGCAAATGGCAAAGTAGTGTCAGTGAAGTTAGTAGATGAGATTACAAATGGGGAAAGATGAAAAAGAAATTAGGATAACGGTGTTACCCGGTATGTATAGATGGGAGGGATGGCACAACTGGGTGACATCCAATCATCCTCTGTCAAAAAGGGTTTGGGATTTAGTAAAGAATATAGGAGTTTAACGTATCATGATCAGTCGTTTGAGGTCTTCGTTCCGAGTCGTCGAATCGTCGAATCCTATGTGATTCTGGAGTGTCCGTAATGTGAGATACGAGTCAAACCAAAGCGTATCCAATCCATTCAGAGTTTCTTTGATTAGTTTCGATATACCCTATTGCGGTGTGAGTGTTGAGGCAGAGTAAACAAGAGCATGGCCGGCTCGCACAAGGGACATTCACTCACTGGACATAGTAGTCGGGAATATTCCTTTGATAGAGGCCAGAGTCACCCAAACATCTTCCACCTCTTGCCCAGCCTTGGCAATTCCATGCGAGATAACTGCCTATTGCCGCCCAGTCTGGGTAGTCCTGTTACATATATCAGTATCTACATTCACGGAATAGTGTCGATGCAACTCACATATATCCTAGGTAGAAGTTAGTGATCAATGACGACACACAAAATAGCATCGGACGTACATTTTCTGGGAGCAACCAATGGAAGAAAAAGCGATTTGATTCTGAGGACAAGAGTCAGATCATTGACGAGGGTGAGATGATGATATGCATTACTTGAATTCCAGTTCCACACGTTTGATATGTCAGGAGAAGAAAGTTGTTTGGTTCGAGGGTGAAAAGTGCTAAAGCCGTGTTAGTAGATGGACGGGAGGAACGCTGGGGATGACACATACCAGGTGAATTTCTCCACAGATTGTTGAAGATAAATTGGCAGTGATTGGGATCAGGGCCGCCTGTGCCTTGGTAGCACGTCTGTCGTAGCAGGATTGCATCAGAGCAAGATTTGGAGACTAGAATAAGGACCACATACCGATGTGCAAGATGCACCACACTTGCTGACCCAACCGTTACCTTGATACTGGTTGCCGAATCTGGAGACACAGTCGTTGGGCGCCGTAGGACAAGATGGGGCTCTAGCAGCCACCTCTGCATAACATTATATCATCAGTCTTGAATTCCAACATACGAGCATGACACGCCAATGTCAAAGAGGCTGCGCCACATTGCTGGTGACAAGCAGCGCAAAGGAAGAAAGGGAGAGGCGAATGACAGCGACGAATGTCAAACAAACAAACGTACCAGGCACTGTAACATTTGTTGAAGAAGTCTCGGGAGGAGTGCAAACGCCCGTGGTTATGATGACGCCGTCTGTTCCGAAAGGCTCTGACTTCTCCACGCTGGTGGCGTTCACACCTCCTGGGCAAATGGAACGCACAGCAGGTGGCAGACTTGGGTCATCAGCTTTATATCCTATAAAAATATCGTCAGTTTGCGGGTTTAGAATGAGAATTATGAGACGGAAGATTGAAAAAGCCGAGGCGAGAAAAAAAATCATTCGACATGTTGGACGAAGCGAGATAAACTAACCCCTAGGCGCGATTCTCAAGTCGGTGGGCCTGCCTTCCACAGCGATTAAATGCAAGAAAATTAGTAGAAAGAGATTCATAAGCACTTGGATTGGTCGTAGATTCATTGTCGTGAATGTCGAAATGACGTGAAGGGTGATTTGAGCGGGGGGAGATTACTACAGGGATTCAAATCTATGGAGGGGGTCGTTCTGGATCGTAACTAGTCTGACAGAGTCGGTCGTCTAATAATCGAGAGGTCGTGGTTGGCTCCAAGCGAGGAAAGCTAGGAGGGGGGCGAGGGGGGGCAGCGAGTATTAGAATTTTCTTGGGTGTTGAGCGCGCAGAAAAGGTGAGGCCTGGATATAAGTGAAAAAAGGTGAGATTGATAGTCCATGAATTACGCCGAGATCTATGACGCTAGCCTAATAATTATGCGGTTAATGCGAATTAACGCTCAGCCTTTTCATTCGTTCAGGGGTAGGCTCGCACTCTGGCCTGACTTCATGCCTCGTGTCTGAAGCATGTCGTTAAAGGATTTTTAACCCAGTTATGCCAGCAATCTGTATTCATAAAAATATCGTTAATTATCATATAATTTTTATACCTCCCTCAGACATGACTCTGCTCTCTCCCAAGGATCGGACGCGGCCACATCTCGGTATAGACCAGTGAGCTGATGCTAGGACGACCGTGGAGCGTCTTGAGCGGATTGAACGTCATGTAAACTTGCCAGTCAGTATTTGAGGATGTGCCGTTGTGGTGGAGGTTAGCCAGTCCACTCGGGTATACTGGAGGTGTCGTTTCAGCGGATGGGACAGCCAAAGTCGAGCCCAAGGGTCAGAGAGAAGATTAAGGAGGTGTTTCACCAACAGACTACCCCGAAAGAGCATCTGCTTCGTATCGCCGACGACAATCGTGGACACTCTTGTCTATCATCCTTTGGACATTTTACTTGAGAACGGCGGGCCTTACCTGAGGCTAGAATCCTGATTTAGCGAGTCTTCACAGGCCGCGTTTCAGCCCATTTGAGTCGCAGCGCATTCTTGACATGGCGTACTGGTTCAACTCGCGTTGGGATTCCGAAAAACAAGCAGCCTCACACGACTGACAACTGGCGTATCCCTTCGACCTGACCTCTCCCATACCAACCCACTCCTTCTACCTACGAAAAATTCACGCTCAAGTACACTAATTTCGGATATATATATATATGCTCGACAAACGACAATCCTTCTCGTTCGTATGGGGTTTCAATGATGCGGTCCGTGATTTAGTCCTGCATTGTCACGGCATCTACCTAGCTGCTAACCTCGCGCCCAACAAATTACTTTACAAATACAGGCTCTAAATTCATGTCAACCTGCAACCCTCTTTGTACAGCGTGATCCGACGGACAATGCGGGACAACCAGCACCAGCACCTCCA